TATAAAACAAACAAACAAACAACAGCAACACAATACAAATAATACACAAAACCAAAAAACAAAACACACACAAAACACCAAACAACGGAAAACAATACGTAAAGAGCCAAATAATAAAACAAAATAGAGCATAAAATAAAAAATTAGCTAATTTATATTTCAATAAAAGGTAAAAATCCCGGAGAGAAGAAGAAAACTAACACGAAAAAGAGGATGGTCAGTCATTCACACTCCAACTAATAAACCAAAAACAGACACAGAATAAAAATCAAAAACAATTCACGGTGTCTATTGATTAACTTATTTCAATTGTTAAGTATATCTATACTAAATATCCACACCAACTACAATACATCTTAACATCAATTTCTCCAACTTCACAACAATCATCTGCGATTCGAAGTCAAAACACATATTACTATACTTCAATCATAGAGTTCAACATATCACACCACACGACACACTATAATTACGTAATGTCACATTCCCACACACAATCACTACATACACATCAATACACTAGATTAAGTTACACATCAATCACACCCATATCACATCACTACAGAACTAATAGGTACCATCACATCAAAACACTACACACCAAACGACAAACCTCGACGCAACAACTATCGTCAGTTGCGTAAGTCTGCACACGTGGCACATAGATATGACAGAATCATCAATATAAATGGGAATCTTTACTAACCGTGTTAGCGGACGGAAATGGTGACTAGGTGAGATTTATCACTTGAAAACGTAAATAAATACTACACACGTCACATTAACGTCAATGACATATCTACTCATCGCTCTCTGTCTCTCACTTAACTTCGATCTATTACATGCGTGCGGATCTCACCGTCTCTCCTCTACACTAATGCATACTCTCTATTCTGAATGTATCATTACTGCACTCTCTCCTATCAATCTCATCTCGTCATCTCTACTCTCTCTTTCATCTCTACTCTCCTTCCACCGCCCCCTCAACTGTGCCCTGCCCCGTCACCAGCCGATTCCTTTACACTCACGAAAGAACGCCTCATAGCACTGCCTGGACACGAGGAGACTAGCAGACAGGGAGAGATCGAAGGAGACTTGACAGAAGGGCGAGGAGCTAGCGAAGGAGCAGATGGATGCTGCGAAGGGCGAGGAGCCTTTGCGAAGGGCGATGGAGCTGCTGAAGGGGCGAGAGCTGCGAAGGGCGGCAAGCGCGTCCCGAAGTCAGGGAGCTCTGCCTCTTTTGTTTTTATTCTTCGGTTGTTTTCATTTGTTTATTTTTGTGTGTGGATTCGTCTGTTTGGATTCGTCTGTTCATATAAATACTATATATTTTTTTAATTTTAATTTATAATTAATTCCATTAATTTTATAAAGTAAAAAATTATTACGTATTAACACTACTTATAGAACTATAAGATATATATTTATATATAGGTACTTACTATATATGGTTGTTAGTGTGTGTGGTGTGATGTGTGTGTGTGTATGTGTTGATGTCTGAGTGTGTTCTGTGGAGCGTGTCTGTGGTGCAAAACATTAATCTATTCTCTATTTAATATACGTTAAGTATATATATAATTGATATACTTATGATATATATATATCAGTCAATCTAGCTGCATTGTTTGGTTAAATAAAATTACTTTATATATATATAAATATAATAACATATATAAACGATTAATAATGAAGATAATATAATGACTTTTAACTAAAATGATATATATGTATTATATATATATATATGAAATATTATCGTATATTAAACGTGGCTAGGATAAGTTAATATATGTGTGTGGTGGTGTGATTGGACGTAGACGATGTGTGTGTGTTGTGTGTTGATGCTGACTGTATGGCGTGTCTGAGTATTAAACCCACGACGTAATACTTCAAGTATACACATTCTTATCTATACGCGCGAGTCTACAAATAAACATATCATACATCCAACCTCTATTATCATTATCCTCGCCAACAAACATATAAGTCGTGCCAGACCGCCGAGCTACGATCATTCGCCGTCAACCAGTGAATATTAAAACATTCTTACAGATTTTACCAGAGACATTTTTTTTTTTATTTTTCTTATCTTTTTGCGCCGGATTCGAAGCAACCGAACCAGCCAATCACGGGACAGACCGAGGCTTCGGAACCCGCCATTTTTCGAGCCAGGACTCCCCTTCAGCTGCGCTATTATTTGCATACAGAATATTTAAACTAAGGCTAATTCCACTCTCGGTCGCGGATAATGGGTATAATCGGGGCAGCGGGATTTATGCCCCGAATCTATATAGAGTGAATCAATTATTTGTTCATTAGAGTTATAGGGTATATACGCAGACTAGAGGGGTTGGTCCACTTTTTTTTTTTATTAGCCAGATTCGCATGTGATGTGTGTATGCAGCGCATTTATCGGCATTCGCCTCTTATCTCACCCTCGCAAACTCTCTCTCATGCTTTATACGTTAGGATTTAATAGAGATTTAATGTTCTTTCTGCT